GGTGGTATATTGATTTATTTTGGAGAGGGTTGCTGGATTGGTTTGGCAGAAAGTTAATATTGTGAGGAAATTAAAGGTACTGATATTTTTTTTAAAGTTCCAATGATCAATCTCTTGGTTCATACTAGGTAGCAAAAAGAGATTGGAAGGGGACTAGGTACCCTAATGGGGAAATATACGGGGAGAAGGAGATGCAGTACCTCTGAATTTGAGCTTCAGTTATCATGGAATATATGAGCACTAGAGGCCTGGGAGGAGAGGAAGTTGTAGTCTGAGAATGAAAAATTGGAAACTCTCTGAGGCCAGTAGTTCCAGTTGATGAAGAATCTGTGGTATATCTCTGAAAGTAAGAGCATTACTTTACTAAGCTTAATAAAAAAAAAAATTGTTATGCTAACAGTCCTAAAGTTTCACTAGCTATTAATTACATAAATCAACCACTAGAATAGGAATTTTTTTAAAAAAAATCAGTGATAAGCACATTGTTGTTGTGTTGAAATTCCTTTTAGATTTTGATTAGTTGCCTCAGGGAGACCATAGTCAGGATTAGGCTCCATTGGTAAGCAATGACTTTTTTCCCTTCCAACTGTTATCAAAGCTCCAGCCTTATGTTATTGCAGTAGTTTCTTATCTAACATTCCCTCTATGTTGTACCAAAATTTTTTTCAGTACATTCACTTTTGTAGGCAAACCTATTTCTTTTATAGTTTGAACCGATCCTCAAGGTAGAAGAAGGTCAGAAGAATCAGATTGCAGTCGGTTACATTCAGGTCTGTCCTTATTCACTTGCCGAGAGGGAGCCGTATACTTGTCAAGCTGCTGGAAACCTGTTCCTAGGAGCTATTAGAGTTGGGACAGGCCCTGGACCGAGGATACAGGTATAGATTAGTGGTGAACCCGAGCAAGTTGTGAAATTTTTTGGAATTTTATAGTACAATTGGGAAACACAGCTGCTATTAGAAATTAAAGCATATGTTTACAATGAAGTGAATTGTATTAAAAATAAAGGTAATAAATACTTAAACTTTATTTGTAATTATTTTACTGTTATCTGTGCTCTTGAGGTAACTTCCACCTAGTGTTCTGTATGGTATAAATACTACTTAACAGGCTACTCTGTGTCTCTTTTCAACTCTGTATTCAGTTGTGTCATGTTGGTAGCTTGAAATCAGCCATGGTGGGATTTATACCACGGACTCTGGCAAACGCTATAAATCAAGGCCTTTCCTCCTGAAGGGCCAGCTGTTCAACTTTTACCAGCATACTGTGGGATATATAGTAGTCCTGTTTTATCTGCAGGGGATACTTTCCAAGACCCCCAGAGAATGCCCCAAACTATGGATAGTCCTGAACATTATATATACTATGTTTTTCCTATACATACATACATACATACCTATGATAAAGTTTAATATATAAATTAGGCACAGTAAGAGATTTACAAAAATAATAATAAAATAGAACAATTATAAAAATTTAGTAAAAGTTATATGAATGTGATCTGTCTCTCTCTCTCAAAATATTGTACTGTACTCATCCTTCTTGGGATGATGTGAGGTGATAAAATGCCTATGTGATGAGATGAAGTGAGGCTAATTACGTAGGCACTGTCATATAAGGGTAGGCTGCTGTTGACCTTTGAGAATGCATGAGAAGGAGGATCATCTGCTTCCAGACCGTGGTTGACTGTGGGTAACTGAAACTGAAAGCAAAACCTATAGATAAGGGTGGAGGTGTCGACTGTAATAGTATCTCTTGCTTTTTCTCACTTGATCTCAAAGACTTGGGGGAAAACTACCAAATTGAAAGGCTTTTTTCCTTCCTAGAAGCTCATCCCTAACCTGTTGCAGCCTTATCTTTAATTGTTCTTCTTCTATTACTATATTTTTATTACCTACTCCTCTACCCTGTGGGCCCTAGATGTTGGTCTTTTCTCTCTCTCCCATCTTATTGCTAGAGTGGAATCTCATTTTGATCTCTGCCAATATACCCAATTTCCCTCACCCTTCTCAGCCATATAAATTAGAGCGTTAGAAATTGTCACTGCTGGCAGAAAGGATAATATATGAAACAGGATGACATAGCTCATAGATAATATTGCCAGAGTTCCAGTCACTTTTAACATTTGACATTTTGAATTTATTGAAATTGTTAACTGGGTGGCCACTGGGTGGCTCAGTTGGTTAAGCGTCTGCCTTTGGCTCAGGTCATGATCCCAGGGTCCTTGGATCGAGCCCCGCATTGGGCTCCCTGCTCAGCGGGAAGCCTGCTTCTCCCTCTGCCACTCCCCCTGCTTGTGTTCCCTCTCTTGCTCTTTCTCTCTCTGTCAAATAAAATCTTAAAAAAAAAAGAAATTGTTTATATTTGGTAAAATATTAGCTTAAGTATGAGTCAGAAAAGTAAATGTTCATTAACTGTATTTTTAGGGTTAGTTATATATATATTTTTTTCCCTAGGATTAGTTACATTCTTGTGTATATTTTCAACAGAGCACAGCTTCATTTTTTTGTGATGGAAATTTTATAATAGGAAAATAGAATCTACTTGCCTTTCACAGATTTATAGAATCAACTCTTCCAACTAAAAGACTTATTAACAGGAGTGCTTTGGGTTTCAAGAAACAAAAGTGAACAGAGAAAGTGACCGATGGCCACTGTTGAGTTAGCAACTTAAAGATGCTAGGCAGAAATTATAAGTTTCTCTTAGTCTTTAAGGTCAAATGATGGTTCCTACGGATCTACTCTCCATACCTGCATCACAGCAGGAGGAAGGAGCTAGAATAGTAGCAGCAGAGCTATATTTGCATGTGCTGTGGCTACACCTGGGCACTGAATATATAGTTTAGCTAATAGTAATATTACACTTTATGCTAATAATATTATACTTTACAATAGTAATATTATATTTTATGATACAGGGAGACAAGTGAGCAGGGATTGGAGATAGGCATTAAATGAAGTTACCATGGACCTCTACATAGTACACAATATCACATTCACTCATATATCTAAACCTAGTGCACTGAGACAAATTTAAAAGGTGCAAATGTAACTAATATATGATGTAGTTCTCCAGAGAAGTTCATTAAGCTTTGTTCAGTCTAGGAAGTGATGGAAAACTAGTTTGTATTTGCTGAGAGATATTTAGGTTTAGAAAATAGGCTAGGTGCTTTCACACAAATTATGTGGTAGCTAATATTATCCCCATTTTTACAAATTAGGAAACTGAGACAAATGTTAATTAATTTGCTCCAGATCACAGAACCTAGTAAATGAGCAGGCCAAGTTTAGAACCTGGTCTTTTTAGAAAATTGCAGAAAATGTTTATAAATCAAAATTAATTCTAATTTTATGGAAAGAATGATATTTGATAGGGAAGAAACTCAAGTCCACACATGCAGAAGGTGGTAAGTGTTATGTGTCGTCCATTTAATGGTGGAGCCTGAGCCCTCTAGGCTTGTAGTAGCCAGCGTATTGGAGACACTAACACTTAGTGGCTACTTACTGTATGCATTTTGCTTATACTGATCCATTTAATTCTTATAACAACCCTTATGTACTAGGTACTATTACTGTGTTTAGATGAAGAAACTGAAAACAGGGAGGCTGAGTCACAAACCTGACCTTGTAAGTGGCAGACCTAGAACTGAACCCAGCCACTCTTACCCTTGAGGCTGTGTGTTAACCATGATACCATCCACCGTCTCATAATAACTGATATGTGTAAGGGAGAATGAGAAGGATTTCTCAAGGTGATTCTTATCTGGTTCTAATTGATCTTGGAAGAATTTCCTTTTGTTTAGCTACATAGGACGTTGAACAAAATATGGTATGAAATTTCACCAGTAAAACAAACACTTAAAGCTTCATTTTGGAAGGCAATGCATAGGAACTTTAAGAATCCCAAATTCAGATATCTTTTAAACTAAACTGGTAACATGTTAATAACCCCTTTTCAGCTCATGATAATTGGTTACATCTTCATAATTTTAAGAACTACCATGGAATATCGATCCAGAAATTGAAATAAGAATGCAGTAAATGCATATGTGAAAATAATCCCACACAGATGGAAGTTACACAGCTCAGAACTTCATGATGAATCATAACTTTTGGAAGACCATTCCATTCTTCCCGAGTCTGTCAACAGAGGGATGTAAAAACTGATGTAGTTTTCATGTTCAGCTTTAACATCTGTTGCATGGTAGCCTGATTATATTCCTATCTAAGGAAACATCTATAAATATTGGCAAAGATCTCCTTTTTACTTTTGTTTCCAGGCTGTTTATCTCTGTATTTATTCTATTGGCTCTACAGTGGATCTCTGTGCAATCTGGGTGGTCTGTGGTGTGCTCAGTATTTTCCTAATACAACTACTTACGGTTCTATACCTAACATTATTGGTTGTTTTCTTCTCTTTTGGTTTCCCACTTAAATTATACACTACTAGCAACAGTAAATACCAGGATTTTAAATGAGTAATTGTTTCACCACTTTATTTTAGTCCTGTCATTTTTCATGAAACCTGTGAGAGAATGAAAATTCACAAAAAAATTTGAATGTGGTTTAGTGTTGACTTTTTTTTAAATTATAGAGAAGACAATAAATACAAAAGTTGGCCGTAGATAAATCAGTACAGCTGGGTTGAAATTTCAGCAACGTAAGTTATTAAGAGGTAAAAATTGTATATACTGCATGTATAGCTTGGTATCAGACTAAATATTTTAATTGGTATTAAAAAAAGTTTGAGAAATTAAAAGCTAAAACTGAAAAAGCAGACTTAGATATTTGGACTAATAATACACAACTCTGTATACACATAGCAACAGATTGTTTTATTATTTGTTTGTGTAATTGGTATCATCTGTGATTTAGAGTCTTGGAATAATAGAATCCTTTGGGAGGGACTGTGGAGTACATTACTGGAATTGAATTGGCAGTGTTCACACACTGGTCTGTGCTCTGGTTTAGAATCCTCTCTTTGCTGCTTTTCTTCCATAGGTGGGACTCTTCCCTGGACACTGTGTTGAATTAATTAATCAGAAAGTTCCCCAGTCAGTGACCAACTCAGTGCCCAAACCAGGTGAGTACACTTTTTCATTAGTGTGGTTATTTTATCAGCTGCTTAAAGAAACAGATTTTCTCTTTTAGCTGAACACATAGCTTGTTTTGCTGTTCTTTCCATTTATTGACATAATATGAACCCTTAATTTTATGTGGTTTTGATTTTTAATATATTCTTATTTCTCTATTGATTATTTCACAAAGGTGCATTTGACATTTTAGATAATTTCAGAGAACTACTTGGTCCATTAATCTTTATCATTATTTGTTTTTGTAGTTATATAGTAGGAATATAGCTTATTAATGATGAAAGAAATGACAAGTTTAAAGAACTCATATAGTATGATTAGCTGAAAATTAATAAATTAAAGGGAATGTATACTTTATCAATTACTATGAACATCAAAACTATTTTATTTTTTTAAACTATTTTAAACAGCATTTTCATTACTTATATAGTGTATTTACAGTGCTGTGTAAATATGTGGACTGTTTTATGAATAAATAAAGCAGTGTCACAGGGGGTAGAAATCAAGAAAATGGAAGTTTTTGTTTTTATTGGGGTGATTTGATCTAGGCAAATTGTATAGAGTACTTAGCCTGGAAGCTTTTAGTGTGATATAAATTTTTTAAAGGAAAACAAAACAAAGATTGAAAGATTTTGGAGGAAAGAGGAAGTAATCATATTTATTTCTCTTACTTGTATTATATTCCCTTTGCTTTTCTCCACCCTTCTCCCTACTCTGCCCTAGTAGAAGAAAAAGAAAAAAATCTCTGGGCCTCGGAATGTATTTGGACTGTTTTCCTTAAAGTATTTTCTAGGGTTAGGACCTATGTGTAAGAATTAGAAGGAAAAAAAGCTTATTTAGTATTTTCCCACCTCTGTCCCCAAAGCATACATCATACCATCTTTGCTTATAGTATTTAGGTAAAGATAAAGGTCAATAACCCCTTTTGAAGCTTATTTCTTAACAGAAAGTTAGGAATTTTAAAATTTTAGGCAGACTACCTTTATTGTTTAGTAGAGAAAAATACTTGAAAACAGTATTCTCTGCAGTTCTACTTGAGACAGGATTCTTAGTCTCTTTTCAAGACATTTTTATCCTCTGTTAAATCCCCCTTCTTTGCGTAAACACTATTAAAAAACCTTTCTCAGTGGGTACTTGCTCAGTAAATGTTCATTAGCGGTTGTGATGACTATAGGTTTCTTTCTTTTTTTAAATATGGCATCATTAACTTAAAAGAAAATCCCATACCCATTAGCAGACAGTGTCCCAACCTCTCCCTGCTCCCCAGCCCTAAGCAGCTACTAGTTTACTTTCTGTCTCTACAGATAATTTCCTTATTCTAGACATTTCATAAAAATGGAATCATATAATATGTGGTTTTTTGTTATTAGCTTCTTTGACTTAGCATGTTTTCAAGGTTCATCCATGTATCAGAATTCAATTCATTTTTATGGCTAAATAATATTCCATTTTATGGGTATACTATAGTTTATCAACTCATTTTTAGTCATTTCCATTTTTGACTATGAGTAATGCTGTTAATGAACACTGGTGTACAAGTTTTTATGTAGATAAATATTTTCATCTCTCACGCATATATTTAGGAATGAAACTGCTGGGTTGTATGGTAGCTCTATACTTAACCTTTTGAAGAACTGCCAGACTGCTTTACAAAGTAGCTAACCATTTTACAATATCCCTGGCAGTGTATGAGAGTTTTAGTTGCTTCATATCCTTGTTATTGTGTTTTTGATTGTTGCCATCTTACTGGTAATGAAGTGGTGTATCTTTGTGAGTTTGATTTGCATTTTCCTGATGACTGATAATGTTGAGTATCTTTTTATGTGCTTACTGCCATTTGTATGTTTTTGGAGAAATATCTATTCAGATTCTTTGCCCATTTTTTAATTGGGTTGTCATTTTATTATTGAGTTGTAAGTGTTCTTTATATATTCTAGATACAAGTCCTTTATCAGGTAATGTGATTTACAAATATTTTTCTCACATTCTATGGGTTGTCTTTGCCTGTCTTTATTCTGTCCATTGAAGCATAAAAGTTTTTAATTTTGATTAAGTTCGATATATTTTTTCTTCAGTTGCTTATGCGTTTGATGTCTTATTTATGAAGACTTTGTCTAACCCAAGGTCAAGATTTACTCCTATTATTTTATTCTAAGAAGTTTATAGTTTTAGGTCTTAGGTTTTAGTCTATGATTCATTTTGAGTTAGTTTTTGTGTCTGGTGTGAGGTTCAACTCCAGTGGACATCTGGGAGTCCCAGTACTATTTGCTGAAAAAAAGGTTATTCCTTCCCCATTGAATTGTCTTAACTCCCTTGTAAAAAATTAATTGACCTTAGACTTATAAGTTTATTTTTGGACTTTTGGTTCTATTCCACCTATCTGTATGTCTGTTAAGGTTAGTACCACCCTGTCTTGATTACCTTTGTTTTGTGGTAAATTTTGCTCTTAGTTTATTCTTTCTCAGGATTGATTTGGCTTTTCAGGGTCCTTGGCAATTCTCTATGAATTTTAGAATCAGCTTGTCAATTTCTACAAAGAAGTCAGCTGGATTTTGATAGGGATTGTATTGAATCTGTGTATCAATTTGGGAAGTAATACCATCTTATCAGTATTTATTAAGTCTTCCAATCCATGAACATGGGATGTTTTTCCATTTATTTAGACTTCTTTAATTTTGTTCAAGGTTTTGTAGTTTTCAGAGTATAAATTTTCATTTTTTGTTAAATTTATTTTTTTTGTTTTTGATGCTCTTGTAAATGGAATTATTTTCTTGATTTCATTTTCTTATTCATTGCAAGTACATAGAAACACAATTAATTTTGTATACTAATCATGTATCCTGAAACCTTGTTGAAATGTTTATTCTAATAGTTTTTTTTAGTTGGGTTCCTTGGGATATTCTATATTCAAGATCATGTTATCTGTGAATAGAGATAGTTTCACTTCTTCCTTTGCAATCTGGATGCTTTTTATTTCTTTTTCTTGTCCAATTTCCTTGGCAAGACCTCTAAGAATGGCCATCTTTGTCTCATTTCTGATCTTAGGAGAAAGCATCGTTCATTCACGATTAAGTAAGATGTTAGCTGTGGGGTTTACATAGATGCCTTTTATCTTAGTTCTTAGTTTGTTGAATGATTTTATCATGAAAGGGTGTTGGCTTTTGTCAAATACTTTTTATCTATCTGTTGAGGTGATCATGGGTTTTTGTGGTCACTATTTTGAAGTTATTAAATTCAACATCCAAAATTTATTGTGGTTTCTCATGCATTATTTTTATATATTTCTGCTGTGTAAACTTAACCTGTTAGGTATTAAGTCTGTGGGTTGTCTTTGATAATTCTGCCTCAGAGGTAAACTGTAAATTTAGTTTTTAAAAATTAGCTTAATATTGGTATTAAATTGTGCCAATTAAATACTTTCTCATGTTTTGAATGAGAAAGTGACATTTTAATAGTGATAACCTCCAGAGCTTTTAAAACTTGAGAAAGTTAATCAGTTATTGATAGTTCTGGAAAGTAAGTTTCTATTAATAGACCTGTATGACATTGTTAATTCTAAATTAGTGATGACATGTAATGAAAGCACACCTTCAAAAGCTAATATTTTATCTTTTGTGAGCAGCATTGCAGGGTTGGCATAAGGAAATGTGCATTCTTAATATATTTTGAAAGGGATGATGTGAATTCTATAAGCCTCAGGCTTGTTTCACACTTTAAAACTGTCTTTGCCTACAGTATAAACAACTTGAATGTTCTATTTATTTTTAACATTGCCATCTGTTACTGTTAGATGCCAAATCTGAAAGATGCAGCTATAGTTTGAGACTGAAATTTAAAGCTCCCTATATTATTACACAACAAGGGCACTAGGAAAAATTTTCCCTTTGGAGCTCTTCTTAATGTTCTCAACATGTTCAATTATTTGTGTATGCAAAAATAAAATCAATGAGTCACCATGTCCTGATCAAGAAAACAAGTATCCATGCTGCCTTAAGAAGAAGAAGGTGTAGTAGAGTGGGGTTGAGGGGGGAGAGAGGGAGAGAAAGAGAGAGGAAGACAAGAAGAGGAAAGAAAAGAGGAAGAAAGATAGAAGCTTGTCCATAAGAAATTGGCAGTTAGTTCAGTCACTACAGGTTATGGTTTGATGGAGGAAGATGAGGTTGAGGTAGGGGGAAGAAGGGAAAGCATATGTGGTTTCCTTTGTGTTTATCCTGTTTGGAGTTGATGGAGCAGTTGGATTTACTTATTGATCTCTTTCTTCAGGTTTTTAGTTTTCTCAGCTATTATCTCTTCAGTATTTCTTTTGTGCAATAGTTTCTATTTCTCTTTTTCTTTACACATCTGTTACACTCTTTGATATTGTTTCACACATCCTCTTCTCAGTTTAGATACTTACTTTTGACCTATCTTAAATTTCACTGATTTTTCTCTCCCTGTAGGCTTCTCTTAAGCCCATCTAATAAACTCTTCAACTCTTACATATTTTATTTCTTAGATTAACATTTTGTCTTTTTTATAATTTCCATGGTGGAATTCCTCATTTTCTCACATTATCTACCTTTTCGTTTAGAAAGAAAGAAAAAGAGGGGTTGGAGGGGTGGGGAGGGAGAGGGGAGAGAGAGGAAGGTAGGGAAAGAGGGTAAGAGAAAAGCAAAGCTTATTTTTGAAGTATGAACTTCTTAAAATGAAGGGCTTAGGGAATTTAGAACATTTCCTCTGAAAGCAGAAAATTTGGACAGAAATATAAAAATATCTCTTTGAAGCACTGGAAAGTTAATAAAGCAGTAAACACTTACTGAGCTAAGGTTAAGCAGAAGAAGGACATCCTGAAGAGTGACCCCAGTATATGGAGACATTATTCCCGTAGGGTATCTACTGATGGAGTAGAGAAAGTCACAGTGCTAGGGGAATAAAAATTGGGGTTCAGAGCCCAATAGGTCAGAGTTGCTGATAAATGCCCCAAGTTTTGAAGTAGGATTTTTGTGGAAAT